CCTACAGCGGTAATACTAGTCTCTGCTGCAAGGAGACGCTCCTCGAGGAGGTCAACGGTGAGTGTGGTAGGGCAAAGAGAAAGGAAGTGGTCCCTGACCGAGCGAAGGGTGTCAGGGAGTCGGGTGACTAGGTAGTAGAGGGTGATGTACATGGGAGGGGGGTTCTTGGCGCAGAACTTAGCAGGAAGCGCAGCGCGGTAGCGGGTGTCACTAGTGCGGAGGTGCGTAATGAGGTCAGTGACTGTGGCAAAAGCGGCGAGGTCAGGGAACAGGTACGGTAGCATGAGGCGACTAAGTGCAGCAGTGGCAGGGGAAGAGTAGCGTGCAACAACAGCGTCGTACAGAGTCTTAGCACTCTTGTACTGACTAAAGTGCGCGCGCTCAGTAGACGGTAGGTGACTACGCACAGCAAGGCGGGCAGCAGCATCGCGCGTGAGCCACTGCGAGCGAACAGTACTGTCAGCATCAGCAGCAGGGGCAGTAGAGGCGCCAGACGTGAGATCGAACAGTGAGAGACCATCCTTGCTATCGCACTATAGGAAAAGCTGCAGATCATCTAGCCAGACATCGAAGTCAACCGCTCGACCCTCAGCATCAAAGGTAAGAACACTGGGACTAGCCATGACAGGAGCAGCAGCAGACTAGCAGCAGTAGCAGTGCAACTAGGCTAAGCGACGCGGCTAGGCAGGGCAGCGCGGCTCGGCAGGGCGGCTCGGCAGAGCGGCGCGGCTTGGCGGCGCGACTCGGCAGGGCGGCTCGGCAGAGCGGTGCAGCTCGGCAGCGCGGCTCGGCCCGGCTATGCTCTTACCAGGGGCGAGGCCGGGGCAGGGCCGAGGGAGGGCCGGGGCAGGGCTGTGAAAGGTCCGGGACAGGGCCGGGGCAGGGTCGGAGCACGGCCAGGACAGAGCCTGGGCGAGGCCGCGGCGGGTCCGGGACAGAGCCGCGACAGGGTCGAGGCAGGGTCGGGGAAGGGCCGGGGCAGGTCCGGGACAGGGCCGGGACAGGGCCGGGGCAGGTCCGGGACGGGGCCGCAACGGGGCCAGGGCAGGGTCGGGTCCGGGGCCGGGACGGGGCCGGGGCAGGTCCGGGACGGGGCCGCGACGGGGCCGGGGCAGGGCCGGGAGAGGGTCGGGGCCGGGGCAGGTCCGGGACAGGGCCGCGACGGGGCCGGGGCAGGGCCGGGACAGGGTCGGGGCCGGGGAAGGTCCGGGACGGGGCCGCGACGGGGCCGGGGCAGGGCCGGGACAGGGTCGGGGCCGGGGCAGGGTCGGGGCCGGGCCGCGACTTGGCGACTTCAGGCGACGGGGCGGGGTCGCAATGGGGCTTGACAAGGCCGCAAAACGGGGGCCGCTAGCGGGCCGCAAAGGGGCCTCGTAGGGCAGAAAAGGCCACTAGGGGGCCGCGAAAAAAGAAAGGGTAGGGCAGAGCGAAAAACGCGCTTCGGGCAGGTAGGTAAAAAAAAAATAACGGTGGGCCCTTAGGGAGGAACGGTCCCAGTAGGGAAGTCGCTCTATACCATCTGAGAATCTAGGAATGAATGATGGACTAGAAAATGAGTTGGGTACAAATATGTAACCCTAAGAGACTGTACCCCATAGTGTCTACCCCACTACAGCCTAAACAGGCTATGTGATTAATGTTCGACACGTGGCTCCCGGCAGGCACCGAAAGGTGCACTGGGATGCTGCGAAGAGGGTGTTGCGATACTTGTGCAGTACATCGGGCATGGGGCTCGTGCTTGGAGGACGGGCTCGAGTTGTCCTCACTGGTCACGCTGACGCCTCTTGGGTTGACGACTTGGCTACACAGCGGTCGTCACAGGGTTACACCTTCAGTCTTGGCTCCGGTTCTGTCTCTTGGCGGTCTACCCGCTCTTCTTCTGTTCTTAGCTCCAGTTGTGAGGCTGAGATCTACGCTGGGGCCATGGCTGCACAAGAGCTACGCTGGCTCACTTACCTGCTGACCGACTTGGGAGAGGCGCCTCGTTCTCCTCCAGTTCTGTACGTCGACAACAAGGCCATGCTGGCCTTGTGTCAGGAGCACAGACTTGAGCACAGAACGAAGCACATTGCTCTGCGCTACTTCCTTGCTCGAGAGTTGCAGCAGTGTGGCCAGCTTCGTCTTGCTTATGTGGCCTCTCAGGCCAACACTGCTGATGTTTTCACCAAGGCACTTCAGCCTTGTGATCATCAGCGTTTCTGTACTGTGTTAGGCCTTGTACCTACTGTGCCTCACTTGTTGACTTCTTGACTCTGCTTGTACTGTACTCTATATACATATACCTGCATGCTTACACTTGCTAGGTTGTGTTCACTGTATTGTTTGCTTTCCTTTATATAACTCTGCATGTGAACTGGCCTTGTGGTCACTTGCTTGTGCTCAGACTGCGTGGTGACTTTGTGATCCACCCTGAGCTTGCTTTGTCCTTCTTGACTGGCCTTGTGACCTCTTGTTCTCCCCCACTTTGCCTATGGGGGTGTGTCAAACTTATATATACTATAGTATGTTTAGGCTGTAGTGGGGTAGTTCTTAGAGGGTACAACACTTTTGTGTTTTATACTTGTACCCACCTGCTGCCTAGTCCATTCATTCCTTCTCATTAATTCTCACATGGACTTGGCGAGCTGCAGCTCGGCACTCATTCTTTCCGAAAAGGCGCAGCCACGGTAGCAGCCAACACTGGAGTGCCAGACAGAGTCTTCAAACGGCTGGGCAGATGGGGAAGCGACACGGCAAAGGAAATGTATGTCACGCCATACGTCGAGCCTCTCATCAAAGCCTCCCGCAACCTACAAGATCCGTCGCATGCGGTGACTTCGGCACAACACACAGAGGCACTCGTATGTAACCGGAGGCCCCTGTCAAACATAATAGTTTAGGGGCCTAGGGTTTGACTTAGGCAAGAGTGACGAGAAGAAAAGGTGCAAGCCAAAAAGGGGTTGTTCACTATAGAGCGAGCAGTACAAATAGGTAAACAGCAACACAAAGAGGTGCACCACCAAACATGATGCAATATCTACACTACAACTGCAAACGATTATATAAAATATGTAAACATATTTTGACACGCCCCCATAATTGATTGCAGGAGTAAGTGTAAAACGCCCCCTGACGGGGTGCACCAGGAGTGCAGCGGAAGAAACAGAAGCAAGCAAGAGCAGTAGTAGCTGGTGCAGGAGTGGCAAATACAGCTGTAGCACGCCCTCAGCCAAGGCAGAAGCAGTAGCAGGTGTACGGGCGGCAGGTCGCCTGAGGAGCAGGCTCTGTGGCTGCAACATGCAGCAGGACAGCAGCGGCTCGACGGCAGCACCTGTAGGCCCTAGCAGCAGACAGCAGAAACAAGGGCAGGTGGCGGCAGGGGCGGCAGCAGGAGGTGCCACGGTAGCAGCGGGTGGCAGCTGCAGATGCTTGACTGTTTTCCCACCACCCTCTTACCCTCCCCCCCACAGCAGCACGAGCGGCAGTGAGAGAGAGAGGAGGGGTGGCTGCTGGCTTTGCAGAATCTCTCTCGCCACCCTCTCACACTCCCCCCGTTTCCCCTCACCCTCCCCCCGCAACCTCTCCCCCCCCCTCACGGCGGACCCCGCTGAAGGGAGGGGTAGGACGGGCTGCAGGCAACTCACACCCGCCACCCCCACATCTCCCTCCCCCCACAGCGGAAGCTGCGGAAGGGAAGGGGGGGGCGGCGTTAGCTGCTGCTCACGCAGGTGCTGGCGACGGGCGCTGGTGCTGGCGCACACGGCCGTGCGCGGGTGCGCACGGTCGTACGCGGCTGCGCGCAGCAATGCGCGCCCGTACGCAGCTGCGCGCGGCTGCTGCTGTGTTCGTGACAGAACGGGGTGGGGCAGGTCGGGACGGGGCGGGTAGCGCTGGGCGGGTGACAGGGCGAAGGAGCAACGGGGCAGTACGAGCCGCCCAGCTCGTCGCCATGACAGCAGACAGCTTGAAAAGGTGCCTATGTCTTAGAGACCCCATTTGTAATGAGAACGATGCCAATTGATAAGAATAAGAAAGCAAGCTTTCTCAATATTCTAATTTTTAAACACACTGTGTTTTTTTTTTAATTGTGTATTGTGAAAGCGAAGCTGCTTGTATTGCACAATTGGCATCGTCGAAGCGCGCTAAACGCCCTTCTCCAACTAAAAAAACTGTGGGTTGGAGCTCATTTCCCTCCACCCACGTTTCTCTATTTTCAAACGGCTCACTCAACATTCCCACCACCCACCCCAGCGTAAACCGTTTCGCGCATGCCACTTGGATAGGGTATATCGTAGCTAGTGATATGAGCATGCACTAGCTTGTGTTCAATTGTGATGCAAATGTTGTAAACAGCCATTTGTAATGAGAACGATGCCCATTTGTAATGAGAACGATGCCAATTGATAAGAATAAGAAAGCAAGCTTTCTCAATCTCAATCATTTTACATTCACTTTGATTTGAGGTCAAGGGCCCACCACCACTACCTAGTTGTGTGAGAACCTTCCTGAGGTGATCCGGCTTAAGATCAACTTCTGATCGCAGCACTGTCCAATATCATGCTGATGGAAGTTTCATGCTGTCCAATATCATTATTCACAACAGACGAATCTTGATTCCTTGCATTACCACGGTTGCACTACCGTACCGTAAGCCCCCTGATATAAGCGCAGGCCTCGGATAAGCGCCGGCGCTTATAAAAGGATGACGGCGGCGAAAGTTAACTCATTCTGACTGTGTGTGTTGGCATGGCATCATTCCCTGCCAACTGGCGTGAGATTCTTGATTCTAGCCCTGTATAGTTTCGACTCGATTCAAATTGCAACAACGTGATCTACAATTTGGTGTAAGAAATATGCATTTCATAAATGTCATTATATAAGCGCCGAGGCTTATAAAAATCCTCGATTATAAGCGCACCCCCTAAAAAACAGTGTTTTTTTATACCCCCAGGGGCGCTTCTATCCGGGGGCTTACGGTATGTTGGGAGTATAGAGCAGAGCACGACATGACACCCATGAAATTATGCCTGCTTTTTCCGGAAGAGGTAATGTGAAACGACCCACTCTTGCCCCTTGGAGTAGCCGAAGAGCTCAGCCACGGCAATGAAGAATGTGCGCCAGTACACCGTCCACTTGGTCGCTGCCTCCTTGCCGTACGTCTCCGCTAGGATCGGCCGGAGCTTCACAATGTTGGCGTCAAAGTTACGTAACCACGCCTCACTACAAAACGAACAAAAGATCCACACAAACATAACAGAAAAGGGGTGAAACATAATATGAAGCGGCCACCGTTTATGGGGATGTGGCGAGAATTTCAAATGCAAACACTGACATCCATGTAAACGTGCCTGCAACCCACTAAAACTGACCACAAATTGACACACCAGGCCCCCATTGGCATGTACAGCTGCAGCAATGTAGTTCGCACCTCGCTCTCTGGTTTCAAGTCTAGTAGACACCCGCTTTAGCACACACCCATTCAATTGTGCGCAAATACATGCGAGCATACCTTGTGCGCTGGTGGTGCGTGTCGTTGAGGCACCAGTGGTTGGCGATGCTAAGGTCGTCCGGCAAGTACAGCAGATTCTTTTCAGCTGGCATCGTGCACAGAAGCACGCGTACCCACATGCGCACACACAACCGGAGGTGATTTTTGAGTCGACTCAAAAATCACAACCTCACACAGTCTCCCTCTGTCTTACCTTGTTTGCTGGTAGGGAGTCCCATTCAAGCACCAGTGGTTGGCAATGCTGAGGTCATCTTGGAAGTAGAGAAGCAGGGAGACGCTGCACATAAACGCACATGCACGCACACACAGACCTATCTATGGACTCTCCATACACACGTACCTGGTCCGTTGGTAGTGCGTGCCGTTCAAGCACCAGTGGTTGGCGATGCTGAGGTCGTCCTGGAAGTACAGCAGCAGCTTGTCAGCCGGCATGGTGCCGCCCGTGAAGAAGTACCGCGTCATCCAGTCATCTGGTCCCGCATCCTGATGGCATTGGGAAGTATAGAAAGGACAATTATTGAGAGGAGAAATACAGGCAGGAGGATTACAGAGAGGTGACACAGTGCCGCCCGTGAGGAAGTACCCGAGTCATCCAGTCGTCCGGTCCCGCATCCTGAAGATGTTGGAAAGTAAATATCATTGGCTATGGAGGGGAGAAATTGTTGGTGAAGTGGTTTGGAATGAGGAGACATCGTGCCACCCGTGACAAAATACCGAGTCATCCAGTCATCTGGCCGCACATCAACAACAAAGAAGAACAAGGAGAAGAAAAAAGCGCGATCATAAGGGATGAAGAAGTTCATAATGAGGAGGCCTGGTGCCGCCCGCGAAGAAGTGGCGTGTCGTCTAGTCGTTCGGCCCCGCACCCTGAAGAGGAAGAAGGAAAGAAAGAAGAAGAGAAAGTGATTGGTTATAGCGGGGAGAAATCCCTGGTGAAGCAGGTGGTCATGAGGAGGCATCGTGCCGCACGTGAAAAAGTACCGAGTCATCCAGTTGTCCAGTCGTCCAGTCACACAGTCATTCGGTCCTGCATCCTAAAAGAAAGAAAGTAAACGTGATTGCATTTGGAGGTAAGAGATCGCTGGTGAAGCAGGTGGTCATGAGGAGGCACCGTGCCGCCCGTGAAGAAATAGCGAGTCATCCAGTCGTCCTGCCCCACATCCTGAAGAAAGCAAAGAGGTAGACATAATGTGATTCAGTTGGGAGGGGAGAGCGATACTGCTGGTGAAGCAGTTCGTCATGAGGAGGCATCGTGCTGCCCGTGAAGAAGTAGCGTGTCATCCAGTCATCCGGCCCCGCATCCTGAAGAAGAAAACAAGTAGACATCGTGATATAGACATGAGAAGTGGGCACTGCTGGTGAGGCAGTTGGTCATGAGGATTATGTTGCATGTGCCGAAGTACCAAGTCATCCAGTCATCCAGTCCTCCAGTCCTCCAGTCCCCGATCCTGCAAAAAAAGGAGAAAAAAAAACTAGACATAAAGATATAGAGGGATTTCGTAAACCCTGAAACACTTCATCATGAGAAGTTTGAGCGTGATCAGCAGCAGCAGCAGCAGTGCAGTTAGTGCATAACACTACATATACAGCGCCTCTTGGGATCAAGTATCTTTGACACATCTCAAATGGTCTCACACATAAAGTAATTGCCATGTCTCAAAGTGGTAAGCGAAGAGGGCTGGGTTAAGTGCCTTCACGAACAACCTCCGTTGCCTTGCCTGCACTACGTCTTACACTGCCATTGACCATGTCACAAAGTGGTAAGCCAAGTTCTTGTGGGTGAAGATGTGAATGAAGAGGAGTGCGTACATATCAGTTCACTATGGCGCTGACAGCTGCAAATTCCTGTCACCTGCACTACCAAGTACATACCTGCAATACCACTCCACTTCGAGGTGCCTGATGAGTTAGGAATCCATGCGAAGAGTACACACATGTCATCAGTGCTAATGATTGTACCTCGAAGTGGTACGCGAGTCCTTATGCATGAAGATATGGATGAAGAGCAACGCGTCCGGTGAGTCTGGAACCCACATGAAGAGTACAGTGCATATATATCATAGGTGCTGCTGATTGTGCCTCGAAGTGATAGGCAAAGTCCTTGTGAGTGAAGATGTGGATGAAGAGCACTCACATGTCATAGCCTCATAGGCGCTAATGATTGTACCTCGAAGTGGTATGCAAAGTCCTTGTGCGTGAAGATGTGAATGAAGAGCAGCGCCTCTGGCTTCATCCAGGAAGCCACCTTCTTCAGCAGCAGCTGGTAGTTCTTCATATGCTGTGGGGGATGTAGGGAAGGAGGGGGAGGAGAGCGGAAGAACGTGACAGGATGAGGTATAATGAAGCCACTTTCAGCAGCAGCAGCAGCAGCTGGTAGTTCTTCATGTGCTGTATGTGGGGGAGGAGGGGGAGGAGAGTGGAGGAGTGTGACAGGATGAGGTATATTGAAGCCACTTTCCGCAGCAGCAGCTGGTAGTTCTTCATCTGCTGTGGGGGAGGGAGTGGGATAAGAGAAGAGAGTGTGAGAGAGGGAGAAAGACATGATGAGCTTAACTGGAACAAGTTTAGGGGTTTAGGATATTCACATATACTTACTCTACAGCCATTACCCTGACGTTTAAATCGACTAAAAAGCCACCTGCATATTCATGAGTGATCGTTGCAGGTACTAACCTGACTCCCTGACTCCGCTTACAGCATTCTTCCTCACTACTACAGCTACCACCACCCCCTCTCACCTCAAACATCTCATCTCAACGGACATCACTCTGTCAAAGGTGCCCCTCCTCGCATGCACGCACATTGCACACCCTACAGCTACCATACCACCACCCCCTCTCACCTCAAACATCGCAACGGACATCACTCTGTCAAACATCCCCTCTGCTGGAAATGTGTTCATGTCTGCTGGGACAATTCGCACTCAATGCACAAACTTTCATGCCAACCAGCCCTCCACACAATCACACCTATTCCGTCTCTCATTCGTCCCTTACAAATCCCGTTTCTACTGACTGAATGTACGTCTCCCAACCTCTCGAAATGCCTACAGCTACCCCACCGCAGCTCACCTCGAGCATTTCAACAGAAACCACTCTGTCGAACGCCCATTCTCTGCTTGAAACGAGTTCATGTCTACTGTGATGTCTGCTGATTCCAGGCACATTATATGTCTCCCATTCCGTCACACACTTCCAGGATACAGCTAACACTACGGGCGACTCACCTCAAACATCTCAACAGAGATCACTCGGTCAAACGTCCCCTCTGCTTGGAACGTGTTCATGTCGGCTGTGATGATGCGCACATTATTGATGCCCCGCTTTCTGGTATGGAGAGGGGAGTAGGGGTAAAAGAAAGACTCTACAAGAGCCCTTAGAGAGATAATGCGCATGCTGCTGAGTCCTGACGCACCACTTCCTGTCACGGGGAAGAGAGTAGGTAGAAATAGAAAAGAGACTTCACAAGAGCCTTTAGAGAGATAATGTGCATGCTGCTGATTCCCTGCTTTCCCCCACGGGGGTGGACTGCAAGGGCAGCCTTTGAGAGGCTTTTACAGGAGTTCTTAGAAGCACCCCTTTGTAGAGCAACGTGCACATGAGGCTTTTACAATGCTCTTATGATCATGTGCACGTTGCTCTCATCCCCGCTTCCTGCCGAAGTGCAGCGGAGTCTTTTGAGAGACGGACATGCTGTGAGTGAGACGAGCAGGAGTTAGTGATGTGAGTGAGACCTGCTGCTGTGCATGCACGTTGCTGATGCCAAGGCAACTCCACTGTGAGGATTCTGAAAAGTGGCTGAAACGAGCAACTCAGATGAGCAAGCTGTGAAACGAGCAGGAGTTGGACATTCCAGCTGATTTGATACTGCAGTGCAGATTGTTGATGCCAAGGCGAAGCCATTGGCACTAACAACGTGACTCACTTGCATTGGCCTTCAATGTAGGCTCTCTGCATGCTAGAGTTGGACACCCCCACGATGCGGCTGTGGGGGTATTTCTCCCCCATGTACAGCGACAGGCTGCCCCACCCACACCCCAGCTCCAGCACCCCAGCCCAGCCAAGCAGTACTAACTCACTTGCACTGGCCTTCAATGTACGCTCGCTGTGTGCTCGAGTTTGAAACCCCCACGATGCGGCTGGTGGGGTACTTCTCCCCCATGTACAGCGACAGGCTGCCCCACCCGCACCCCAGCTCCAGCACGTCCTGCCCGTCTACAAGCTGCGCCCTCTCGCAGTACATTGCCAGCATCAGCTCCTCTGCCTCGTCTAGGGTGGTCTTTGCCGTGGGGAAGTAGCAACAGCTGGGGGCAAGAGGCGGGAATCGGGCACAGAGAGGGGAAGAGGAGGGTGTCAGCAAGTCCTGCCCGTTTGCCAGCTGCGCCCGCTTGCAGTACATCGCCAGCATGAGCTCCTCTGCTTCGTCTAGAGTAGTTTTGGGCGAAGGGAAGTAGCAGCAACTGCGGGGGAGGGGATCGGGGAGGGGGGAGGGCGAGCAGGCGTGTCGGAAAAGCCGACACAAGTGACAGGCTGCCCCACCCGCACCCCAGCTCCAACACGTCTTGTCCATCCACCAGCTGCGCCCTCTCGCTGCGAGCATCAGCTCCTCTGCTTCGTCCAGCGTGGTTTTCGCAGTGGGAAAGTAGCAGCAGCTGGTGGCAGGCAAGAGCGAAGAAACGCGATACAGAGAGGGGGAAGAGGGGAATCAGCACGACTTGCCCGTCTTCCAGCTGCGCCCTCTCGCAGTACATTGCCAGCATCAGCTCCTCGGCTTCGTCCAGAGTAGTTTTTGCAGTGGGAAAGTAGCAGCAGCTGGTGGGGGGGTTGGGATGGGGGTGCACAGCACAGCACAGGCGGGTTGAGTGCGGCTCACAGCTGCTGAAAGGGAGAGGGGAGGAGACAGACCTCACACCCCTGCTCCTGCACACCCCAACTCCAGTTTCAGAGAGTCTCACCTGTATTTGAGTCGCTTCCCCAGGCACAGCTGGAAGAGCTCTGTGGGGACCTCGTAGAGTTTCCCCCTTTGGCTATACTAAGCCACACGTGCACTGAGTTTCACCTGCACTCAGCCACACCTGCGCAGGTCCCACCTGCACCGGGTCCCACCTGCACTGGGTCTCACCTGTACTTGAGTCGCTTCCACAGGCACAGCTAGAAGAGCTCCGTGGGGACCTCGTAGTGCTGCTCGTTGGCTGCACTAAGACGAGCCTGCTCAGAGATTCACCTGCACGCAGCCGCAAGTTCACTGGGTCTCCCTCACCTGCAATCAGTGGGTAGGGCTCACGCTCACCTGAGCCAGGCGCATTGATTCTCACCTGTACTTGAGTCGCTTCCCCAGGCACAGCTGGAAGAGCTCCGTGGGGACCTCGTAGTGCTGCTCGTTGGCTGCTGCCGTGCTGAGAGCGATGGGCATTGACTTGAGAGCTGATCAAATGGAATTGGGTGTTGGATAGACGGACAGAAACATGGAATAAAACGCAACTTTGTAATGCCGCTCGTTCGCTGCTGCTGGGAATCGAATTGACGGCTGAACAGCGAGTCGCACCTAGTCGCTTACGCAACTTCACCATTACTCTCAGCAGGTGGTCTCAGAAATGCGGAGGTTTTCATAAATGTACCCACACTCTGCAAACCCGTCCACGTCCTGAAGCTGTACGCGATGTTAGAAGATTCTTAAGAATCGTTTTGAGGAGCATGAGACCTCTTACTGCACTCACATTCAGCGAATTCGACCAGGACCTGAATTTGTACGCGTTTCTTCAATCGAAATGTCTCACGGATCCTTCTGAGGAGCATGAGGCCTCTTCGATGCACTCACACTCTGCGAATTCGACCAGGTCCTGAAGCTGTTCCTCCACGGTCTCCTTTCGCGACATGGCGATACGCTGCGACATGAGGTAACGGCAAGCTGGTCGCAGAGCGCGGTCGGGGATCACGTTCGCCTCCATCGTACGCAGTCCTGCCTGCACTGCGAGATCGTACGACTGTCGCAAAAGCGATCCCATGGTTGTCACTGGTGATTTCCTTTTCGCGATCTTCAACCAGAAACAGCCGCAGCCACTTCTTAAGAAAAATCGTAGATTTTCCTGGAGGAAAGCACAAAGCTCTAGTGCTAACAGGAGCTCCTCTGGGGTACAACTGCTGTACGACCAAGTACTTCCGAGACTACATGCAAGACCTGTCAGAACCAGAATGCTCAGAATGATCACAGAGTGAAGACAGACCAAGCGTATTTGATAATATTGGAGAAACGGGACGTGTCACAAGAGTTGATTTCTTATTCACGTGTCAAAAAACAGACAAGGCAATAATGGTACCCCACCGTAGTCAACCACTGCAAGTAGCTGTACCCAGGTCGACACACCTTCATACCAAACGAGCTAGATACCTCCCTACTGTACATACCACGCCCCAAATTGGTTTGTGAGAGGATCTGACGGCTGATAGGAATCAATGAGACTTTGCGAGCCTGAAACGAACCGAGACTGAAAGTCTGGCGACTGGTACGGTATGAGACGAGGCTCGGTGAGTAGCTACCGTCAGCAATGATGGTTCTTCGAGGCTTTGCATGCTGGCGTGGCAAGGCATTTGGGCCCTATGGAGGACTGGTCTGCTTTTCCTGTGGTAATGGAGGTGACGCGTGCGAAGCACCAGTACTTTAGTTCCACGTGGCACGTGGACAGATCGATACCCCCACACTGGAAACTACGAAATGGTTTAGTAGCGAAGTGCTACACCTCTTTATTAAACAGCATGTAAGAAATGGTGAGCTAGCGGGGAGTTTGTGACTGTCCTGAAGGGATGCTGCGCACGATCCCATCTCTATATTGGAACAGTCCGTCTGTCTGCTACTACACCATAGCCAGCTGTCGGCAGTTCTTTAGACCCTGAATATATGGGGAAAAGAAAACATAAACACTAGTCTCGTTCTCAGCTGGTACGGCATAAACTCCCTTTCCCTCACGGTGTTCTTCTTCACCTTATTGCTCTTTCGACAACATTCCTCTCCATCTCCATTGACCGTGTCGCGAAAGCTCAAGCCAGTTGCAGACCCACCTTAGCCCTCGACGAGTCCTGCGGTTGAAATTTAGACGAATCTCCGAGACACCCTCTCAGAACCACTACTGTACCCCTAGACCCCCGCTCGCAACTGTCGCCATGAATCCCGGAGGATATAGCGGCGGGTTCGGCCCTCCTCCTAATCTACCAGATATTCCCGGCGGCGTGGCGCCTTGGGCCTTTCCAGGGCCTCCGCAGCAGCAAGGAAGCGCACCGAGCCAGCGGGTTCCTGGAAACCTCGTTCCGTTGCCTAAAGCCCTTTTCGTTCCAGTACTGGATCCGCCGTACCGGTTTTGTATTCCCCAGAAACGGATCGCTTCTACCGGGGATACTCAGTCGTTTCTGGAGGGGGAATCCGGGAGGTGGTTTTTAGGTTTCATCGTAGGGCTGAGCGAGTCGATTCAAGGGAAGAAGATTTCAGATCCGTGCCACGTGTCGCCGACGTGTGAGAAGATTGTCGCTTTCCTCGAGAAGTTGATTTCATGGGTTGACGAAATTCCGCCAAGCGAAACTCTGCTTCGGTACGGTAACCCTTCTTACCGAACCTGGCAGGACCGGTTACAGGAACGGGGCCCGAACCTCGTGGCTGATATGATCTTCCCCGAGAATCTCAAAGCAGCTGTGGGGGAGACCTTTCCGTACCTAGCTGACAGCTTCGGCAACTGGACCAGGATAGATTTCGGCACGGGTCACGAGACGAATTTCGCGGCGTGGCTGATGTGCTTAGTGCGGCTCGGCCTCCTAGTCCCTGACGACTATCAAGCATTAGTTTCCCGCGTGTTCATCAAATACCTCGCCTTAATGCGGAAGCTGCTGCTGACTTACTGGCTGGAACCCGCCGGGTCGCACGGGGTGTGGGGCTTAGACGACTACCACTTCCTGCCTTTCATCTTCGGCTCCTCACAACTAATCGGTCATAAATACCTCCGCCCCAAGTCGATCCTTAATCCGGACATCTTGGATAATTTCGCGGAGGAGTACTTGTACTTCTCCAGCGTGGTCTTCGTCAAGAAGGTGAAGAAGGGGCCTCTAGCGGAGCACTCTCCCATGATCAACGACATAAGCGGTGTACCGAATTGGAACAAGGTGAACAGCGGAATGCTTAAAATGTACAGAGCGGAGGTGCTGGAGAAGGTGCCGATAATGCAGCACTTTCTGTTTGGGTCCATCATTCCTTGGCCAGGGACGGCTGGTGAGAGGAGGAGAATGGCAGGAGGAGAGGGAGCAGCAAGGAGGGGTGAGTCTGGAGCGGTTGGAGCAGCAGCGGGGGTAACAGGTGCAGCTGTAACAGGAGCGGCTGTAGCAGGGACATCTGTAAGAAGTACTGATGTAGCGGAAACACCCATAGCCGGAGCAGGTGTAACAGAAGAGGCTGTAACAGAAGCTGCTGTGCAAGAATCAGGTGAAACTGGAGCAGGTGTGACATCAAGAGTTTGAGAAGCAATGGAGAACTCCATGTCAAAGCTTCTGGTCTCTGGTTGAGGGTGCACTTAATCTTTACTGCACTGATTGTCATTCTAGTTGCCTCTACCTGTACTCAAGTCTGCCGTTACCTACCGTATTAACATTGAGGGAACTGGTTTGTGAACTGAGGGTGGTACCGTGAAGATATGTGGCACTCTAAAATGTACATTCCATCTCGGTAATTCTACCTACATACCGTACGAAGCCAAATACGGAGCGCCATCAAACAAGATAAAAAAATGAGCTGAGACATGTTGTACGGTTGGTAGGTACTCCAGGAGCAGTTTGTCACAAAACAAACAAAATTATACTCATCCATTCCATACACGCCATGTTTCCCACACCGATCCTCCAAAAACTAAGGCCAACACCACATGCTTGGACATCATGTCAGCCGCGATCAAAAGTTGATCGTGCCTAGGATCACCTCAGGAAGGTTTGCTGAGTTGTGGTGGTGGGCTCTTGACCTTAATAGCAGAGTGGATGTAAAATGCTTGAGATGATTGAAACATGCAAGTACAAATGTATAAATAAGAGTACAGGAAGGAATACGAATCGACCTAGCTAGCCATGTACTCCAAGGGGTACATTCCCTTATTACAGCGAAATCCAACCGTGCGACTCCAGACAGTTACGAAACTGTCCGGGCAGAATCCTCGCCACTGCTGCTGCCTGATGCTGTCTGCCCGACGGTCCAGATGCTTTTCGTAACCGTACGACGCTTCACGTCACTTCTGCCTTTTCGCCTTCATCCTTGGTAGTGCGTGCTTCGATTTCTGTGGTAAGGAGTGCACAGTGATGCTTCAATAATTACTTTTCGTAACAATGACAGCTCGGCTATATGCACCATGCTTCACCACGTCGGCCATGCATTCTTCTCCCACCAAATGCGGGGGCATGCTTTAACCGGAGATGCTGCGACTAGCTTTCTCAACTTCGACAGCAAGGAGGTGGCTGGCAGGTCAACTATGCCTTGACCCTTTCCCCGGATCGACTCAAGCCATTTAAGCTTCCTAAGGCTCTCCAGGCTCTTGGGAAAAGAATCCAACCTTCTACAGCCCTCAACGACGAGAGTATCGAGGCTTGAGAGCCTTGTTAGGGTCTCTGGGAGATACAGAAGTGCTGGGCAAGAGCAGATGTGCAATTCCTGCAAGTTAGTCAGGTCCCCGAGGTTATCAGGAAGCACTTGAATCATGCAGCCACTCAATTCAAGCCGTGTCAGCGAGGACAGCTGGGTGAAAGTTGACGGCAGCCGCGGCTGCTGCAGCAATCCGTCCAGAAAAACCGTCTGCAGTTTGAAGAGTTTTCCGATATCCTCTGGGAGCCTCAGTTGCGGCATGCGCGCGACGCAAAGGGTCTGGAGAGCAGTTAGAAAGCAGAAGGTTTCAGGAAGCTGGATAGTTCCTTGTGTATTGCCGTTGCAGTCTATTAAGATGAATGTCTCTAGGGAGGTAAGCTGGCAGACAGTGTTCGGGAGGAAGGAGAGTGGCAGGTGGAACATAACTAGTGTTTTCAAAGAGGTGAGTTGGCAGATGGAATCGGAGAGGCGGGAGAGAGGAAGAGTGTGCAGCACCAGTGTTTCCAGGGCAGAAGGATGAAAGATGGAGTCTGGGAGGTTTGAGAGAGACAGATTCCGCAGCACCAGCGTCTGCAAGGCACGCAAGTTCCCAAATCCCTCCGGCAGCCTGGAAAGCCCCGAGCAGTGGGAAATGGTCAGGCTTTGTAATCGAGTTAGGGAGGTGAGGGTCGAAGGCAGGACAATGTCAGGCCAGTAGACCGTAAAATCTTGCGTGCCGTGAAACGTCAGCTCGCGGAGTGAAGGCAGCAGCAGTCCAAAGTCACCCGGATGGCGCTGCCAGTCCTCTGGATACATACCGAGGAATTCCAGCCGTTCCATGTTGGTGCAGGGCGATGACAACGGCACACACAGGTCGAATTTCAAGGATTTGAGGTTAGGCAGCTGCGTGAGATCGAACTCAGGGGGAACCTCACTCATACCGAGATAGTTAATGTTGTCACAAATGGAAATAGAGGTGATGCTTGGGAGGCGAGCGAGATCGGCCAGTTGCTGATGAGTTGGCCTTAGATTTCGAAGGAAGTGAAGGTGGGTAAGAGAGGTGAGGTTTGTGAACTCCGGAGCGTCTAGTATTGAAGCAGTTGGGACAAGGAAAGTGTGCAGATGCGTTAGCTGGAAGAAAGAAGCGCGAAACTTAACGTCTGGATGGAGGCAGTAGAGTGAAAGCTGCTCCAGCTGAGAGCTGCGTTGGAAAAACGAGTCCAAGCCAGCATCTGTGACTGGGAAGTCGCCTTCGTCACCGCTGAGATTCCGATGTGAAGAATCTTTAGCTCCGGGCATGACGAGGCAACGTGAGAGAGGAATGCGTCATTGACAGCGTTCACGCGGCCGTCGCTCAGATGGAGATGGGTCAGGTTTGAAAAGAAATCGAGAATTTTTGCTAATGCTAGGCTGGAAACGGAGGGT